ATATATACACATATATATATACACATATATATATACACACATATATATATATATACACATATATATACACACACACACACACACACACATTTGAACTGAGCATTAACATTTCATGTGCTGTGTGTTTTTTAGCTGCTGGATGCCTTCGGACACAAATCTAACATCAGCCTGGTGTTTGATTTCATGGAAACAGATCTGGAGGTCAGAGACAGTTCCTTGCCTTTGGAAAATAATCTCTTTCATACAATTTTGTGCACTCCCATACAACAGCCCACAGAGAAGCTTCAGTTTGTTCTAATTTTTAGTTAAACTAAATCATTTCACACAGCTCTTTTTAATTTAAATTAATTTCATGATCATTGATAGCAGCCAACGTCGTCTTCTCAGGTTTAGTTTGTTCTCAATTTGAGTTAACTCAGTTATAAGGGGTTTTCATATTTCACACAATTCCAATATGCTGTAACTTTTAATGTATCAAATATTTTTAATTGTATTTTCTGAATGTGTCCTAAATATAACTCCACTTCTACTTAAATTTAACTAACTTAATAAGTTTTCAAATAGCACAATATTGATTCAGTAGACCACAAACTACAGGCCCTGCACCTCTTGAATTGGATCCCATCATACTGTACAGATGTTTATTATCTTTATAGCTATACCTCTGTATGGAGTTGTACATCAATCATTCATGCTAATCAAAGGCATTGAAAAGAACACGATGTTGCATTTCATTAGTAGACCAACAGATGGAATTTTTATTACTTTCTCCTTAATAGAGACCAAGGAGAGAGCTTTTTAAAGATGGGTTTCATCTTAATGAATTTCTGTTATAATACTGTGAATGGCAGAGCAGGCCAATGAATGAGAGAGTAGATAAAGAATCTGATTTAGAGGTGTAAGGTCAGATGACGTACGGAATAGCACAGAAGATATGACGGGGAAGACAAAGATAGCCGCGTGAGGGCCCTAATCTAACCATTAAGTGGTTCTGCAAGGTCACCAAGGCTTTTAAATATTTCCCCACCTCTCTTCCTGGTTTGTTTTAACATACAAGGCTCCAGATGGGCGCTCACCACCAATACATCAGACTCTAATAGAACGATGCAAAGCAAGATAAGCACCCTTTTAAAAAAAAATCAATATCACTGCTCTTGGCTCACAATGAATTGATGCCATTAGCGGCTCACAGGCAGCAGACAGACGGGACAGACATGAGCATGAAATATGATGCTGCTTTTACTACCGGTGCTGAAAGACTATTTTTAGGCCACATGCTTAGATTTGGCTGTATAAGCTTATTAGCTACAGATGTTGGGTGGTTTTTTTTTGCCAATAACATTGTGTGGAAGGATACTGAAGCCAATATTTTGGGAGCTGGTGGAACAATGGAGGTTCTGGGTGAGAGATTGAATCTGAACTGTGCTGTCTGGCTTGGCTCCAGCTGCGTCCACTTCTTCCCAGAGATATATCCCAGTTGTCTTTAATTCTCTTATCTGCTCTGATAAGTGTAATTTCATTTTGAATGTGTAGCCTACAGCTATGTAACAACATTAAGTAACGGATGAAGATTATTAGTTGTCAGATATGCGGCTTTACTTAAGCCTCTTTGGCTTTGTTTTGCTTATTTTCAGGTGATCATTAAAGACACTAGCCTAGTCCTGACTCCAGCCAACATCAAAGCCTACATCCTCATGACTCTACAGGGATTAGAGTATATGCACCAGCACTGGGTCCTACACAGGGTAAGAGCACTAATACTCCACACATACACACATATATGCTCACACACAGTCGGTATTGTACATTTTGCTACTCTATGTTTCCAGGATCTGAAACCAAATAATCTGCTGTTAGACGGCAACGGAGTGTTGAAGTTGGCTGATTTTGGTTTGGCTAAAGCATTTGGCAGCCCCAACAGAGTCTACACTCATCAAGTTGTTACCAGGTCTGTGCTTCTTTGTCCATCTAATTGTATTAATAATACAGAACTTAGACTTTTCTATACACTACCTTGTGTTTTTGCTTATCTAAATCCATTAAGATGAATAAATCCTCATGTTTTTTAGTTAAATATATCTCATGAGGAGACAAATTTGCGACTGGTTAAAACGTGTGTGTTAGCACACATTTTTAAAAATGTAGACCCCTGGATGGCAGCAAACCTTGTCCTCTCTTTGTTAAAGAAAGTGTTGGACACTTTGTTCTAGTTTAACAGAATTAATGAATCTTCTTACTAGACGAGTAATGAACTGTCTGCCTGTTTAAGAGCTGTAAAACTTAACTCTCTGTCCTTTATGTTTATCAATCTTTTTCCCAGGTGGTACCGCTCCCCTGAGCTCCTGTTTGGTGCCAGGATGTACGGTGTGGGTGTCGACATGTGGGCAGTGGGATGCATCTTGGCAGAGTTACTCCTTCGGGTACACAAACCTCACTTTAAAGAGATATTCACACAGTAACAGGAGTTATTTATGTATCCATGCTAATGTCTCTGTATGTCTCCTGTGCTGTAGATACCCTTCCTTGCTGGAGACTCAGATCTTGACCAGTTGACTAAGATCTTTGAGGCTCTTGGGACGCCCACAGAAGAGACATGGCCTGTTGGTATCTGTTTTTTTCCCCAGTGATGTTTGTTTTTACTGTGCTCACATGTGAGGATCCTTGTATTTATGTATTTGTCAAATGTCTCTGCAGGGAGTGAGTAGTCTACCAGACTATGTGTCCTTCAAAATATTTCCTGGCACACCACTGGAACATATATTTAGTGCAGCTGGAGACGACTTGCTAGAGCTGCTACAAGGCCTCTTCACCTTTAACCCCTCAACGAGGACTACAGCTACACAGGTAATACACCATTAAAGCACAGTAGGTAGTCTCACACACTTCACAATACCGGAGCAATGTATTAAGGGGTAAATGTCTGCTGAAATTGAAGACCGCAGTCTATTTTACATTTTCAGTTTGGAGATTTCATCTCATTTTCTAGAAACCATGTTAGCATGTTCTGTACTTGTACAGTCTGTATTTCCATAGCAGGTTCTGAGGTAATACGTCACAAGAAAATAAAAAAAACATATCCAGATGTCAAAAACAAAAATGTCTTTACAGCATCAAAGTAAAATTAAATGAAAAGAACAATAAAACGTAAGATACAAGGAATAAAACTGCAAAAAAAGATTTTTGCATTTTTGAAAGCACCATACTTAATCCACAAAATAAGGTGACAAAGATGGACCTATACAAGATGATACTATATGCACATACATACCTGCACTTCTAATAATTGTAGACATTTCTGCCTAAAAAATTATTCCCTGTCTGCAGTTGATAACATATCACACTGTTGTCTGTTGTTCTACAGGCTCTAAAGATGAATTACTTCAGTAATCGACCTGGTCCCACTCCTGGACCCCAACTCCCTCGACCCAACTGTTCAGTTGAGGCACTGAGGGAGAAGGAAACAATCGGGCTCAAGAGGAAAATCGAGGGCCTGGAGACAAGTAATGAACACACATTGGCTTATTTGCTATATGTACCCATAATCCACCAAGTATAATTGCTATATATGTGCCTCTTATCCGCCAAGTAAAACTTTGACCTTGATGCACCCATATAACTGTTTATATTGTGGTTTGAGCAGCAAAAAGGGAAAGTGTCTGCAAAAAAAATGTTTTAAGCCAATTTTAGAAAAAGCTGGAAAAATTTAGAACATACCACTCAGACCAAACTTACATATAGCATGTTAAGAATTTTAGCCTAGTGAACCATTTCTCTTGTGTCCTCATGGTTATGCACACTACACGGTCATAAATCTAGAATACCACTTGATTGAACCTAGCAATTCAAAGGGTGTTGGCTGCACATTTAACTGCAGTTAGAAAGTCAGAATCTAGGGAAGTGGAAAACACGCGCACACACACGTACAGAGAGTTTAGTGGATTGTGGTAGACTATATTTTACCGAAGGAGGACCTTGGTGTTACTGGGAGGTTCAAAGCTTTTTCCAGCTCCTACTGTGGTTTAGAAAATACATGGGTTGACTATATGCTATGCTCTATGCAACGGTATATTACAGAGAGAATTTTCAAATACTTACAGTAAACGGTGGTTGGTGGCTATCAGATTGCTCATTATAGGCTTGTTTTATTTGCACATGTAGTGTAGATACAGTATTTGGCTGTATTTTTCTGATGTGTGTGTGTTTTTTTTTTGTTTTTTTTTTTAAATTTTTTTTTATAATGCTTGTAATAACAGTCTTAATATTGTTTTCAGCTGTGATGAAGAAGAAGCTCATTTTCTGACCGGAAGGGACCTGGTAAATCGGATGATCACCATCTTCACTCTGTGCGGCTCAGCTTTCCCGCATTGCTCAGGATTGTCCACTGGAATGAAAAAAAGAAAAGAAGTCTCAAACCAGTGAGGGGAAAAGGCCGAGATGTGGCTGACTTTAGGACATTTTAGAGACTGTAGCTGTTACATCAGTTGAGTTTTGTGCTTGGAGTATCCAGTGTGCTGCTGTGTTCAGCATTCCATTGAACAATGTACTACAGTGGTCAATAGTGTTGGCTCTGGTCTTTCTTCATTGTAACAATGATGCCTAACCTCTGGGAGCCTGTTGGAATATGTCTATTTATGTGACAAAAAAAAAAAAAAGAAGAACCAAACTAGCAAGCCTGATATATTTCATGTATATGTATTTTTATGTTTTGTATGTAAGCCCAATAAATGGTGCAAATTCATACATGGGGAACTCTAAGTTACTATTTTAACTATGAAATTGCATTCTTTTCATTTATTGAGAGGTTTGTCCTCAGTGGCACTGTAGTAAGGCATGATTGTGAGAACGTTCCTGCTAGTTTACAAATTCACACAATACCACCCATTCAATCCACATGATACAGGCTGATTTCATGTTAGAAGTATTTACACTCTCTACTTTTTCACCTGTTGAATATGTGTGGACAGAAATATACTTGTGGTTTATTTACTCAGCAGTGAGAGTTAGGAGGAAATAAGTGTGTATTTGTCCTACTCTGTGTGTGTGTGTGTGTGTGTGTTTATGTGGCATAAGCCCTGTCTTCAGGGCAGACAGGGTGACGCTAGGCTTGACAGTGTCAAGCAACAATCTGCCACCAGATATATCTTTCCCATCCTGTCCTTTGGCTTCAACATTACTGTGATCCAACGCAGTCTGACATGTCAGACATGCTTGATGCTCCGGCAGGCGTTCTGCTGCCCTTTTGGTTTTGTGTCAAACAGGATCAGATAAGAGAAGAAGACGGGAAGAGATTAGAGTATTTCACATCTGAACCCAGTCTTCATATTTAATCAAATCCATTTCTTCTTCAATAACAAAAGCTGGTGTAGATTTTTATTTGTGTTTTCTGTCTTATTTTAAATGTAATCTGCTTCACTGCTCACTTTACATCATGCTTGAATTCCCCTTAGTTTGTGTCTAATATTAAAAAAAAAATTAATACGTAAGTTTTACCACCCACATTCTTAGTGTGACCGCATTTTGGGTTTGAGCGGGTTGTGGATTTGAGGTCATGGTCTCCTAGAAAGAGGACGCCCTGTGTAATTCATGCCTATTTATAAGTGTCCACAATACAGCACTGAGAGGGGACACAATGACTTTGTGGTGGCGGTGGGTGACTACAGTTTGTGTATGTGTGTGTATGTGTTGGGTAGCTGGGTCAGATGACTGATTTGGCAAATGGCAACACAGTCAGTTGCAGTCAGAGCTACAGTAGCAGCCTTATCAGCTCAGGCTCATATAAAGGCCATTTCTTTGGCCAGGAAAGCCACCGTTGGAACCAACACACTGCTGCCCACATGCTGATACAGAACATGAGCACAGGGTTTGTGGGAAAAAGTGATACTTGCTCATATGTCTGAATCAACAA